ACATGGGGAGTTGGAGGCTCGGGACACACGGACACCTCAAGCCACATATTCCTCAATTCTTCACTCCGCCCTGCCAGGAGGCTGGGGTGCTGGAAGGCAGTCGGCTCGGCGGAGGAAGTAGAGATAAGAGGCTGAAGGCACCTGGGCCCCAGCTTTGGCGTAGCAGGCACTCTCGGTAGCACAGCCCCGAGTGGCAAATTTGGGGTTGATGAGACCTGGGAAAGGCGGGATTTCAGAATGGAATCGGCCCCTAACCCCTCCTTCCTCACCACCCAGGGGGCTTCCCCGCCACTCCCTCCTTCCCATGCCCCACTCCGCATGCCTTTCCCCAGATCCCCGGAGCCACCATCTCCCCTAGAACCTGGCAGTATGGGCCTCCAGTTCTGGGGCCCTGTTCCCTTGTCTAGAGAGCCAGGTTCGCCTCACCAGCCTGCACGTTGCCAGCGAAGTAGACACAGTGGGTTTCCTGGCCAACACAGCGAGCTGACTGGGTCCCTGGACATGTCTCCTGAAAGGGCACCACGCAGGCTGGGCACTGGAGGCCGTTCTCCGTCCGATTGTTCTGGGGAGCTGGGGATGAGGGCGGAGGGTAAGGGGCAAGGGGACGATGAAAGCCTTCCCTCACCTCACAGCAACCCCTGGGGGGAACATGGGCTGCAAAGGACACTGCCTCTATGGGTAAGGAAACTGAGGGGCGAGGGTCAGAGGCAGGTGGGGGTGCACACAGCGGGCCCTGGGGGCGGGCTGGAAGCCAGTGCTGTCGCGGGGCTGCGCTGGCACTCACGGGGCACTGAGCCCTGGTTGCAGCCGTCGCTCTGGCAGCAGTGGGTGTTGGACACCATGTAGTCCTTGGGGCCCATCGTGGTGGACACGAATCCCGAGTAGCAGTCGCTGTACTTCATGCAGGCCTTGTAGGTGTTCAGTGAGTGGCGGCCCTCTGAAGGACGGGGAACAGGAAGGGAGGGCTTGGGCAGCACCAGCTGACCGCGCTTCATTGCGGACCCCAGCCAGGGGCAGGGGGCTCGCCCAGTCCTGCACTTCCCACACCCCACGACTGCCTAGGGAGGTCTCTTCTAGCGTCCCAAAGCCATGCCCCTTTATCTGCCTGGGGTATGGTCTAGAGTAGTTTATAAGCCCCCCCTGCCCCATTGCCATAGCCCCCGATCTGTCTTGATGGTCTCTTGAAGCTCCCCATTGCCAAGCCTAGGAGCCTGCCTGACAGGGTCCCTTCTGCCCTCGCCCGCCCCACTCTCATCTTCCAAAGGTCCTACCTATGGCTACCCCCATTCTTGTGTGAAATGGTGTCTCCCAGTCTTCTCCACCTTCCCCTGCAGCTTCCGAATGCCTTCCAACAAACCCTGGGAGCTGCCTCTATCCAACACCCATATCCTCTTGCTGCCCCCACGTCTTGGTTGCAGTGGTCTCTTCCAGTCTCCCCCGCCTTCCTCCTTCCCACCAACTGGTGGTCTCTTCCAACCCAATCCAAGGATTTTCCTCATCACCCCTCAAAGGTGCTTTTTCCCATCTTCCTCTCCCTGGCTCGCAGGGTTCGAATCTCCTGGGGTGGCCTCTTAAAGCCCTTCGGGTACTTTCACCCACCTGCCAATGCCTGCTGGGTAGGTTGGGCAGCTTGCAATCCTCTATCCCACCCTCCTTACATACCCTCTCCGGTAGGTGTGGTTTCTTCCTACAATCCAGGTGGCCCTCAGCCCCTGACACCACCTTCACACCTGCCCCGACCCCATCATCCCTCCTCTTGTAACTAACGAATGGTCTTTTTCTGCTTTGAATGAAAAACTCCGCGCCCTCCCCACCCGTGGTCTCTCCATCACTCCCCTAGTCCCCCATCTTTTCTCAGGTCTCGGGCGGTCCCTTCCATTGAAGTCCTCTCCCATGTCACCCACCTGCCTCCCCATCTCCATTTACTTCTCTTCACGATGATTTGCTTCATACTTCAGCGTTATCTTTCCTTTCCTGCCTGGTGTGGTCCCTTTTATGTCTCTCCCTCGACCTCAGTGTCTCAGTATCTCCTTCTCCTGTCAAGAATGGTCCCTTCCAGCCCGCACCACTCCCACCATCCCCAGGGCGGGGGTCTCGTCCTCCTGTTTTGGATGATTCCTCCCCCTCTCACCCTAAATGGTCAACCTGATGACATTCTTCCCAACCCACTGTCTTCTCTATTCTTCCCCCGCCCCAAGATCGTCTTTCCCTCTTCCCTGACCTCCCACATGAGCTCCGTGATGATCCCTCCCTTGGCGCGGAGCTATCTTCACCCTTGAAGGCACCACCACCTCCCCAGCGGGGGACGCCAGGCCCTCCTCATACTTGTGCACGACTCCCCGACGATGACCACGCATGCATCCTGGCCGTCCTCGCAGACCTTCATTTTCCCGCTGCAAGTGGGCCCGGAGCCCCTGCACACTTCACAGCTCAGCGGGCACCCTGCAGTGTAGAGAGCCAGGCCGTCAACATGAGGGGCGTGGCCAGCGGACCATGAGTGCGACTTCAGAGTCCAGAGGGAGATGGGGCAAAGGGGGCCGGATTTGGAGTCCTGAGGGAGGAGGGACAGGTGTCTCCGTAATTGTTCATGGGTGGAGCACTGATGGCTGTTCAGGGAACTGTCCAGTGCTCTGGCTGGGACGCGGTGGCGAAGCCAGCAAAGCTGCTTCCAGGGGCGGGAAGCGACTCCACCAGGGAGCCTGTTTACCTAATTACAAGGTTGCAGACTTGGGACGCTAGGGTCCTCTGAGAAGGCTCGGGGACAGGGAGGGGTCCTGGTGAAGGTTTCCATGGGCTTTTTTGAAGCTTCAGGTCCAGCTGTTTCTTTCCTTCTCTCTCTTTTTATTTTTTTTCCTTCTCTCTCTTTTTAAAAGATTTTATTTATTTATTTGACAGAGACACTGCAAGAGAAGGAACACAAGCAGGAACAGTGGGAGAGGAAGAAGCAGGCTCCCCACTGATCAGGGAGCCCAATGCGGGGCTCGATCCCAGGACCCTGGGATCATGACCTGAGCTGAAGGCATATGCTTAACGACTGAGCCACCCAGGTGCCCCATGGTCCAGCTGTTTATTGGACATGAGAACAGGTGTAGGTCTTGGGAATGGCAGCAGCTCAGGCAGGGGAATCTGAGGCTGGGGTCTTCATCCCAGATCAAGAAGGGAGAGTCAAGGGGAGCCTGGGTGGCTCAGTGGGTTAAAGCCTCTGCCTTTGGCTCAGGTCATGATTCCAGGGTCCTGGGATCGAGCCCCACATGGGGCTCTCTGCTCAGCAGGGAGTCTGCTTCCCCCACTCTCTCTCTCTGCCTGCCTCTCTGCCTACTTCTGATCTGTCAAATAAATAAATAAATAAAATCTAAAAAAAAAAAAAGAAGGGAGAGTCAAGACGAGGAAGGCAGAGTGGATGGACTCCTTGGTCCTAAGAGAGGAGGCAACTGGGGGCCCAGACACCTGGGTCCTGGGGAAGGTGGAGCTTGTCTGAACTCCCGCATCTAAAGGAAGGGGGGGCTGGGAGTCTGAATTCTAGAATCCAGGGAGAAAGGAAATCTCTTCCCCCCCAATGCCGCCCGCCCCCCAGCTTTTTTTTCCCTCTTCTAGTCATGCCGTCGTCCAATTCCTAGAATTCATGTCTTATTTTGAGAACTTGCTTGGGGGAAAGAGGATTAAGAGCCCACCAAGCTCCCTCTTTTCTCAAGGATCCAGTCCCATGAGCTTTTGAGCTTTTCTTCCTTTGGGGCCCCAGGCTTTCTCTTCCTTTACTCTCTGCCTTCACCTAGAATCTGAATTCCCAGGACACCACCTCTTTCCCCCTCCAGGACCTTGCTGAGTGCTCTCTCACGGTCCTCATGGTCCAGACCCCTCGTCACTTACCCAGACCCAGGAGGGTGCAGAGCAGTGTAAAGGCCAGCAGGAAGGTCACTGGTTTCATGGGAGTCCTCATGGTGAGTGAACCTGTAGTCCCAGGTCCCCAGCCCTTATAGGAAGCTAAGGAGGGGCGGGTCTGGATCCACCTTCACCCTGGGGTGAGAAATAGCTGAGGTCAGATCTCAGGGCAGGCCTTTGTGGCTCTGGGTTGAGGATATGGGACCAGAATCCAAAAGGGGCATGGGCATCTCATGCTCAGCCACCTGCTCTGCAGGGACCCCAGGACTCTAGGCTTCTAGCTGCCTCTTCCATCAAGGCCCAGAAAGTCACTTCTCTGTTTTCTGGCCTGAAGTCCAAAGTCAGAGTCGGGTCACTTGATTCCCTGTAGGTGTAGGGTGGCTGCTAGGACTGAGACCCCCCCTCTCTTCTCTCTCTTTCCAAGGAGGCACCCAGCGTGGGTGGGGCCCTATTTGGGAGCGCCCAGCATGTCCAGGCTCGTTCTGCGGGGGATTAGGAGCCCTGTCTCTCTTCCTCCTTCGTGCGCTTGGCTATATTCCCTGTTCTGTGTTTGGGCTGTCCCCAGCTCCAACCCCGCCTGGGGCTGCACCTTTGGGTCTCACGGGGACCGAACAGAGGGATGCCTGTCAACAGGCAGGGGCGGGCGTGGTAGGAGACAGATGCCCACAGGTCACATATTGGGAAACTGAGGCATCGGTGAAAGCATTCTAGCTTGGGTGTATCTGGTTTGGATGCATACTTTGGGTCTTATTTAGGTCTTTGATCCGCTCTTTCTTAGCCTCGGGCATAACCCTGGAGAGATCGGATATTTTGTTCGTGTGTGCATGGCTGTGGGATAGCGGGGAAGAGTGTAACAGTAGGAACCGCTGGAGAGGATCCCGTAGCGGTATGCACCGGGTTCCCTGAGAAAAACCAGTCAGGTCTGCGTACTCGTAAGGCTTCAGTTTGGGTGGTGACTGCGTCGTCCAATGAGAATGGCGAATTTTTTCTAGGGGCCAATCCCGGAGGCCGCTCCTGTTGCCAAGCGCCCAGAAAGCAGCGTGTGAACGTCGACGGGAGGCGGGGCTTAGAGGAAAGCCCGTTGCTAGGGAACTAAGAGCCTCGCTCTGGAGAGGTGCGACTGGGCCTGCGCGGCGTCGACGCGAGAGCCGGCGCGCCGCGGTTTGAAAGGCCCGAGGCCTGTGCGCTTGCGCACTTCAGCCCGCGCAGGGAGTTACCCCCCCCCCCCCCCGCCCCGAACGCCCCCCAAACTCGGACCTTCTTTCATCCTTCGCGCCAGGCGAAGCCCAAGACGTTGACATGCCGGAGATCCGTCTCCGCCATGTGGTGTCCTGCAGTAGCCAGGACTTGGTGAGGAGCTGGCTTGGGGGGAGGTTGGAAGACGTCAGGGAATCCATGCGGGGTAACTGCAGGAACTTTGGGAGTGTGAAAGGGAACTTCACGGAAGTCTGTGGCGGGTCGTGGGGGAATTCCAGGAGACTATGAGGGAATTCTGGGAGAGATGTGGAATAGGGGAACTTCCGGTCAGGAAAGGAGGAACTGGGGAGCATCCAGGAGAAAATGTTATAGGGGGACCCGAGGCAGGATGTTGTGGGATTAACGGGGACTTTTAAATCTGGGGGAGTGCAGAGGGCTCGGGAGGACTCAAAGGAATAATCTGAGAGTCGGGGACCGAGCTCTCTTCCCTGTACCCTTACTTTCCCTTTTCCACGCTTATCTCCAGACCCACTGTGCAGAAAACCTTCTCAAGGCGGACACTTACCGAAAATGGCGAGCAGCCAAGGCAGGCGAGAAGACCATCTCGGTGGTGCTCCAGGTGATCCTGCCCTCCCTCGTCTCCTTCCTATAGGAGTCTGGAGACTCAGCGTCCAGACACTGCTCTTGAGCCAACTGGCAGTGGGTTAAGACACTCTCCCTTCTGGACTTCAGCTTCCTTACCTGGAAAATGGGCAGTGTGATTGCTGTGCCCCTTAGCAGAGGACAAAGGTGGTTCCAGGACTAGGCCAGGATGACCATAGGAATCAATGTGTGGCTCGGGTAGTTGCTTTTATTTTCTGGGCCTCAGTTTCCTCAGCTGGAACAGAGTGAATCATTTTCAGTATCCTGTTAGTTAGTGGGCTCAGGGTTGGAAGGTGTTTTGGAAGATCATGGAAACCCATCAGCCCCATTTTAAAGATGGGGAAACTGAAGCAGGAGTGGGGGAGGAATGACACGGCCAGGCTAAGTGCCATTCTAGAATGCTTGCCAGGTTCTTCTGAGTGCTCTCACCCACTCTTCATCCCAATGCTGTGAAGTTGGAGGGAGGCACGGAGGAAAGCGTGGTTTGACCCCAGATGGTTACAGAATTCCAAACGGCTGTTTCTGTCACAGATAAGAAACTGGTGGGAGGAGAGAGGGCTAAGCGTGTTTGAAGCATCTGCTCTGTGCTGGGTACTGGCCTGGATGGTGTCGCTGTTCACAAGCTTGGTGTGATGCAGGGGCCCTTATCACCATCAGTCAGGGTGTGCTAAGGCTCAGACCCACATTGGTGCTCTAGACACTTTGTCACACACTGGCTTTCTTGATCTTGACACTCCTGAACGGAAGGGTCTTTGGGGAGGGGTGTTGCAGAGCAAGGCTTACGTGATTGTGTCAAACATTTTCTTGGTCCCTCTCTCGCCCAGTGGTTCCAAAAAAATCTGGGCTCACAGAACCTTTTCAAGAATTAGAAGCTGAGGATTCCCTCCCCCGGAAAAATATGCGGTCCTATAAGACTTTCTGATTTTAGACATTTAAACATCTCCTCAGTCCTTAGCAGAGTAATAATAATGAGAGTTGGCCTTGATTCAACATTGAAACTGCCAGTTCTGGTTTTGAACACCTCACGTGGATCACCTCATATTGAATCTATAAAAACCCTATGACATAGAGTTTAGTATTATCTCCATTTGAGAGATGAGGAAACTGAGTCCCAGAGAGGTTATGGCACTTGGCTAAGAGCCAGTGTTTTAAACTGAGGGAGGTACAAAACAAACAGACAAATAAATATATGAACTGAGGGAGGGTACAGGTTGCTCACGATTTAGTCTTGGAACCTGGATTCAAGTCCCCGTCTCTCCCTCTTACTCATTCTGTGACCTCGGGCACATTTTTTCATTTCTCTGAACCTGTTTTCTCACCTGTCCATTGGGAATAATGAGATCTGAGCCCAGGGTCATTGTGAAAATGTGGTGACATAATGTCTGTAAACGTGCTCTGTCAACAGGTGGATGTTTGTATAAAGGGAGGGATTCGTGTTTTTATTACTGGGTGATGATTCTCCGGGGCTCTCTTAGGATCAGGTGACCCTGGGAGAATCACATTCCATTCTGTACCCCAGTTGCAATGGGAGCAGAGAGACCAGAGGCAGGAGAGACGTGACAGGGATGCAGGAACCAGAGGGGCCAGAGCGAAGCACAGGGCTCTCTGGTCTGGGATACCGAGGGAGATATTGTAGCTGTCGCTGAAATGGGAAACCCAGAGAAGTGGCAGCTTGAGAAGGTGATACCTTCAGTTGGGATGTGCAGGTGTGCCATGACTTCGGGACACCTGGGGTCCAGGCCGCAGTCAGAAATCGGAACGGGACCTAGATGAAGACAGAGGTGTGGAAGTTGTCAGCATGGGGGCAGGACCTATAGACTTCGGAGTGAATGGATTCTCATGTTCATTCATCCACTGAGTAATTATAAAGCACCTTCTATAGGCCAAGCACTGTTTTAGGTCCCGGGGCTGTACAAAGACGCATGAGACCAAAATATGTTAGTTCTGTGGAGCTTTCATGTTAGGAGGGAAAGACTGACAAACCAATGTGGAAAGCACATCAGATGGATGGTGAATGCTGTGGAGGAAACTTAAACCCTTGAGAGGAGAGGGGAATGCTCCAGCTGGGGGTGGAGGCAATGGCAAGAGGTTTTTCTTTTTTTCTTTTATTATTATTTTTTAATATTTACTCGAGAGAGAGAGCATGAGAGAAGAGAAGGTCAGAGGGAGAAGCAGATTCCCCATGGAGCTGGGAGCCCGATGAGGGACTCGATCCTGGTACTCCAGGATCATGACCTGAGCTAAAGGCAGCCGCTCAACCAACAGAGCCACCCAGGTGCCTGGTTTTGTTTTGTTTTGTTTTGTTTTTAAAGATTTTATTTGTTTATTTGAGAGGCAGAGAGCACAAGTTGGGGGAGGTGCAGAGGTAGAGGGAGAAGCAGACTCCCCACTGAGCAGGGAGCCCGATGTAGGGCTTGATCCCAGGACCCTGAGATCATGACCTGGGATCCAGGAAGGCCTCCCTGAGCAGGTGTCATTGAGCACAGTGAGCTACATAGAGATCTGGGGAGGAAACAGACTTGGAGGTGACCTGGCATGCTGGAGGAACAGCAAAGAGTCCAGTGTGAGCGCAGTGGAGCTGGGCAGGGGAGGAGGGAGGAGAGATGAGCTAATGGGTCAGGGTTGGAGGGCCCCCAATGGGCTGACAGCCCAAGAGCCCCTGTGAGTACTTGAGTACTTGAGCTTTTACTCTGGATGAGTTGGGAGCTGAAGGGCTCTGAACAAAGGACGTCCAGAAGTGGACTTAGCTTCTCACAGAAGCCTGCTTCCCTCGTTGAGAATAAAGCACACGGGGCAGGGGCAAGTGCATCATAGCAGCTGTTAATTTATCCCACGTGAGAGACACTTGGGGCGATCTGATTGTGTTTGGTGATGCCCAGTATGCAGTGTGACTCCAAATTCACCTAACACTAATTCTGTTCTTGTTAAGCGAGTGGAAAGGCAGACGTGTCCGGACACCGACTCCTATGGACTAACCCGGGGAGCGTTCTGCCCTGTATTGTTTTCCTCCCAACTCTATTATGCAACATCTGGATTGCCACACAGGGTGCAACCCCCTGCTCGTGATGGCCACACACACACCTCTTTTATTTGCCGCCGCTGACGACAGAGGCTGCGTGGCTAACCGGTCAGCGGCTCCTGGAGGGAGTTCCAGCCTCGGGGCTCACTGCTCTTGGGCCGGAGGGCATGGCTGGGATGGGGTCCAGGTAGCTCTGCGGCCCCGCTGACGTGCGCTCTTTGGAAGAAATGCCTAGTAGCAATGTGGCGCTCGTTTCGTGGTGGTTTTTCAGTGGCTCTCTGACCACTCAGTTTGCCCTTGTGGTGTTTTAAGCTGTTCTTTGCTTCTTTTTTTTTTTTTTTTTTT